ACTGGAATGTTCATTGGTTGCAGCTGGGCATCGCTGGAGCAATATGGAAGCAGGCTTAATGCAGGAAGAGTGTGTGTGTGTGTGTGTGTGTGTGTGTGTGTGTGTGTGTGTGCGTATCTTCGTGCATGTGAGTCTGCGTGAGTACACTTGTGCATGCATGTCGGCCTGCTTATTCGCACATGTGTGAGAGATAAGGAACAAGATATTTGGTTTTAATACAGACCAAAGCTTAGATATTTGCAGATACATGCGTGTGTAAAAAATAACCACATGCATGCAAGCTCCAGAGTGCATGTGTCTGCATGCATGCTGGTATGTGTGTGAGTGTCAGAGATATTAGAGCAATATGAAAAAGCTAAAGCCGGAAGTACGGGGCTACAGTTAGAAACCTGTGCAGAGTTTGGGCTGAAGAGAACAGAGAAAAGAAGGAGCGGTTCTTAGAAGCAACTGAATCTCTGATTTTAGAATATAATCACCATAAAAGAAATACCATCAAATCTAAATACCATGTGTTGAATGAATTTCTGGTAGGCATACAATATGTGAAGTATAGGCCATTGCAAAGTTTGTTCCATTGATTCATTTCTGTTATTAGAATAAATTTCACAATCAGCTATTGATACAAGTCAGAAAACAACAGTAAATATAGCCCATAAAAGCATATATCAAAAAAACAAATTAAAAAACCTGAAAACAACAGGAAAGATTATATTATATTTGAATAAGTAGTGTGTGGAAGAACATATTGGGAAAAATGAAATAAAAAACTGTGCAGCACAAATGTCTGAATCATTTTCTGTGTAAAATGGTCATGAACATTACACTTATAGTGACATTTTAAAGCATAGAGAGTTCTTCCTTTTTTAAGAGCGATGATCGATTCATTTCCTGTATTTGAGTGAAAATCGTGTGTGTGTAAAGTTGGACTCAGAGGTTACATCTGTTTGACTTTCTCTGTAAGTGTTTCTCATGTGGAGAGAATGTGTGTGTGTGTGTGTGTGTGTGTGTGTGTGTGTGTGTGTGTGCTCGGTTCCGGTTGTGCTGCAGATGAACTGAGGTGACATTCTGTTGCATTTCAAACAGCATCATCTGAAGCTAAGACACCACTACGCCTCTAGTACAGTCATTACAGAACTGTGTGTGTGTGGGTGTGTGTGTGTGTGTGCGTGTTTGCTACAAATCAGCTTATTTGTCATGTTTCTCTTCAATGAAAAAAACCTTTTCTACACCCTGAATAATTTAGATAGGAGAGTTTAATAAGCTTGACTCATATTGAAAATTGCGTGTGTGTGTGCGTGCATTTGAATCTAATGTACAATGAGACCCACATGAATTATGAATCCATCCAGAATTATTTTGACGTTGTTGGAGAGAAGCCTGGTCTCTATTCAGTCGTACTTCAGATGTGGAAGCAAACACATATGTTTGTAGTGGAGCAGCGTCACACATCAAACTGTGATCGTGACTCTTCTGAATAATAATAAAGTTCTGACATTGCTCTTATGAAGGAAATGCTTTATCTCTCTCTCTC